ACAGGCAGTTCTCAGATGAAGAAATTAAAGCCATCTATAGTCATATGAAAAAATGCTCTAAATCACTATTGATTAGAGAAATGCAAATCAAAATAACCCTGAGTTACCATATCACATTTATCGGATTGGCCAACATGACAAAACAGGAAAATGATAAATGTTGGAGAAGATGTGAGAAAATTGTAACACTAACGCATTGTTGGTGGAGTTGTGAAATGATCCAACCATTCCGGAGGGCAATTTGGTACTATGCCCAAAGGGCTATAAAAATGTGCATACCCTTTGACCCAGCAATAGCACTTCTAGGGCTATATCCCAGAGAAATCATACAAATGGGAAAAAGACCCACATGTACAAAAATATTTACAGTTGCTCTTTTTGTGGTGGCAGAGAAATGGAAATTGAGAGGGTGCCCATCAACTGGGGAATGGCTGAACAAGCTGTGGTATATGAATGTAATGGAATACTATTGTGTTATAAGAAATGATGAACAGGCTGACTTCAGAAAAACCTGGAAAGACTTTGTATGGTCTGATGTTGAGTGAAGTGAACAGAACCAAGAGAACATTGTACACAATAATAGTCATGTTGTGTGATGACTAATATTGATAAACTTAACCCTTCCCAAAAATACAAGGATCTAAGACATCTCCAAAGGCCTCATGATGGAAAATGCTATCCACATCCAAAGAAAGAACTATGGAGTTTGAATGCAGATGGATGCATACTATTCGCTATTTTTTTTCTTCAATTGAATTTTGTTTCCTCTTTCTGGTGGTTCCTACTATTCGTTCTAATTCTTACTTACAACATCACTAATGTGAAGATGTTTAATAAGAATGTGTATGTATAACTTATATCAGATTATGCACCATCTTGGTGAGGGTGGTGGGTAGGAAGGGGGAGAAAAATTTTAAACTCAAAAGCATATGGAAGTGATTGTCGATAAATCAAAATAAATTAAGAATAATAATAATAAAAAGAAAAATGTATCCAGTCTCTTTTTTGATCATGGCTTTCAGGTGGTCCCACAATTCTTAAATTATCTCTCCTGGATCTATTTTCCAGGTCAGTGGTTTTGTCAGTGAAGTATTTTACATTTTCTTCTTTTTTTTTCATTCTTTTGATTTTGTTTGACTGATTCTTTATGTCTTGGAGAGTCATTAGCTTCCACTTGCCCAATTCTAATTTTCAAGGAATAATTTTCTTTTTTGTATTAAACATTTATTAATTTATTTATTTTTAGTTTTCAACATTCACTTCCACAAGATTTTGAGTTCCAAATTTTTCCCCATCTCACCCCTCCCCCACCCCAATACCGCATACATTCTGAATACCCCTTCCCTTAATATGTTCTTACTTCTATCACTGCCACTTTCTCTTATCCCCTTCCTCTTCTATTTTCCTGTAGGGTAGTATGGATTTCTATACCTCATTGCCTGTATATCCTATTTCTCAGTTGCATATGAAAACAATTTTTAACATTTGTTTTTAAAACTTTGAGTTCCAAATTTTCTCCTTTCCTCCCTCCCTACCCACCCTCATTGAGAAGGCAAGCAACTCCATACAGGTTATATATGTGTAGTCATGAAAAACACTTCAATAGTAGTCATGTTGTGTAAAATTAACTGTATCTCCCTTCATCCTATTCTTCTCTCCTTTTATTCTGTTCTCTTTTTTAACCTTGTCCCTCCTCAGAAGTGTTTGCATCTGATTACCCCCCAAATATTCTATTCTCTCTTTTAACTCTGTCCCTCCTTAGAAGTTTTTGCTTCTGATTACCCCCTTCCCCAATCTGCCCTCCCTTCTATCATCCCCCCTCTCTTAACCCCTTCCCCCCTATTTTCCTATAGGGTAAGATAGATTTCCATATCAAATTGAGGGTATATGCTATTCCCTCCTTAAGCCAAAGCCAATGGGAGTAAGAATCATTCATTACCCCTCACCTTCCCCTCTTTCCCATCATATATTTTGATCTTCTTTGTCACCAAAGAAAGATTCTATGGCCTGACTGTTTTTTTGGACAGTTTCCTCATGTTCTCAGCCAATTATTTGAGTTTTAAACTCTTTGTTAAAGTAGGGGTCTGCTTCCAGTGTGGAGAATGTACTGTACCAAGCTTCAGAGGTTTTGTGCAACAGTTTTTAGAGTTACTTCTAGGGACCTATAAAATTTTCAGTTTTTCCAAGGTAGTATGATCAAGAGCATGGTGTTTACTCCTTTCCTGGCCTGGGTTCTGGTCTATGGGTGACCACAAGAACTTTTTCCTTTCTTGGAAGTGTGAGGAGGATTCCCTCTCCACCGCCACTACAAGCTCCGCCATGCCAGCATTCCTCCTTGCCCCAGGACCGCCACAGGACTGGTACCTAGATCCAAATAAGGCAAAGCAAGAGAATCCTGCCTCCGCAGCAGCACAGAGATCCCTGCAATCCACCTCTGATCAGTCACTCAGTTCTTACTTCATCTGTTGGTCGAGAACTCTGGAAGCAGCTGCCACCGGGGCTGCACCAGGGCTGCACCGGGGCTGGGGCCAGAGTTCCTCTCTCACCACAGTTGGACAGACCTTTCCTACTGACTTTCTAAGTTTTCTTTGGTGTTTGTGGGTTGAAAAGTCTGGAAACTGCCACAGCTGCCAATGATTTAGTCCCTTGAGGCCTGCTTCAAGTTTGCTGAGGCCTAGTCTTTGCCTACATGGCCCATGCTGAACTGTGCTCCTCTCTCAGGCTGGTGCAACAGACCTTTCCAAACAACCATCCAGGTTGTCTTGGGATAGAAATTTGTTTCACTTTGTCTTTTCATTAGTTCTGCTGCTCTAGAATTTGTTTAGAGTCATTTTTACAGGTATTTGGAGGGGTTTGGGGGAGAGCTCAACAAGTCATGGCTTTCACTCCACCATCTTGGCTCTGCCCCTCAAGGAATTATTTTCTTCAGTTAGGTTTTGTACCTCCCTTTTCATCTGGCTAATTCTAATTTTTAAGAAATTCTTCTCTTCAGTGAATTTTTGTACCTCCTTTTCCATTTGATCAATTCTACTTTTTAAATTGTTTTCTTCAATGTTTTTTTTTCCCATTTGGCCAATTGTATTTTTAAGGAATTATTATTATTATTATTATTATTATCATCATCACCATTGTTATTTTGTTGAGGCAATTGGGTTAAATAACTTGCTCAGGGTCACACAGCTAGTAAGAGTCAAGGGTCTGAGGTTGGATTTGAACTCTGGTCCTCCTGACTCCAGGGCTGGAGCACTATCCACTGTGCCATCTAGCTGCCCCAGGAATTATTTTTTTCAGTCAATTTTTGTCCTTCCTTTTCCAAGCTGTTGACGCATACATTATTTATTTTCCCTATTTTTTCTTCTACCTGTCTTATTTGACTTATATTCCTTTTTGAGCTTTTCTAAGAAGACTTGGGCTTGGGACCAATTCATATTTTCCTTTGAGGTTTTGGGTGTAAGTATATTGACAATGTTGTCCCCTTCTTGTTTGTATTTTGATCTTCCCTGTCACCATAGTAACTCTCTATAGTCAATGTTTATTTTTGCTTTTGTCTCCTCTCATTTGCCTATTTCCTGACTTTTAAAGTTGAGCTCTCCTGTGGGAGCACAGGGGTCACTGTCTCAAACTTCTTGTGCTGTGGGCCAGTTGCCGGGTCACTGACTTTGTGGGCTGGGTACTAGGTACTAGCAGACAAGGGTTATAGGGGTCTGGCAGATTACCTAATGGGTAAGCTGGGGTCCTAGTTGTGGTGTTTGGCATGTGATGAGACCAGGTGGGGTTTTTCTGCATTTCTCTGAGGCTACACTGAAGCATGTGGAAGTCTGGCCACTGGAGGATGCTTGCCCACCTGGGACTGTGCTGATGCACATGGTGGTTTCTCAAGCTGGAGTCTGCTTGTTCCCCTGGCTACACTAAGGCACAGAGGGGGTCCTCATGTTGGTGTTTGGCTGCTCTACTGGGGCTCAGGATCTCCCACTGGTTTGCTGAGATGGGACTTGCTGCTGGCTTGCTGAGACCCTTTCTGTCCTAGAATGTGCTTCTCTTTTAGTGAGATGCACCTTTCTTGCCAATCCTCCCAATTTTTTGGGCTAAAAGACTGTTCCATTGTGTCTTTCCACTGACTCTGCTGCTCCAGGATTTGTTCTGGGGTGCTATTTTGTGTTTTTTTTTCTTCCAGAGGTTAATATGGGAGAGAAACAGTGATTTACTGATTACTCCACCATCTTTGCCCCCAGGAGAGATTATGGATATTTTCATTCCTAGGTATAGCTGAGGTTGAGTAAAGTTTCAGATCATGGAGGTGGAGAAATTGGAAAACAATAAAACTTGAGGGGACATCAATATGGTGGAGAGGAATACTTCAAGTCAGAAAGGAAGGGAAATGTGCTAGAGTTGTTAGGTTCTTGGCACCTGAATTTGGAGAAGATGATTTATCTTGATGGAGAGCTCTTCAAAGGAAAGATTGTTGAATGAAGGTGGTAGGTGAAATGCACATGAATCGTAACTACATGGAAATAAAAAATGGACAAGGAAATATAGACATAAATGAATAAATAGACAATACATAGGGAGCAAAGATAAAACATTATCAGGATGCTTAGAAATTAATTTTTAAGTGTCAATATTTATAAATTTTAGTTTAAAGTGCACCACTGAGATGCCTCTATGAAATACATTTTTCATTCTTTTTTTTATGTTATGTTCCCTTCCTCAGCTAACTATTTTGTGTTTTCTGTTATGTTCCCTTCCTCAGCTAACTATTATGTGTTCTCTGACTATTTTGTGTTTTGAAACATTTACTGAACATCAATGAATAGGACACAGTTTATTTACAGAGGTGATTTTTTTGGGGAGAGGTGGCATAGGGTTGCTTAAATTTTAAGAGATTGGTGTAGCCTTCATTCCTTCATCTCATCTAATATTTATGGATTGCCTTTTCAATGAGTAATGCATTATCACTGATCATATGTCATTTCAATTTTGACAGGTGAAGGCCAATAAGAATGATTAAGTGCTGGTCAGCGGTTTTGTTTCTTGGATTGATTTTTCTGAGAGCAGAAGGAAGGCCAACAAAGGAAGGAGGATATGGCCTAAAATCCTATCAGCCACTAGTAAGATTGAGACACAAGGTACTAATCATATTTGGTATCTGTTTTTATTACTAATCACTTAAATGCTAGTCATTTAGAGATTTTCATTATTATTCACTTAGGGACAATCATTTTAGAATAACTTTTTTGGATATACTTCACTATAAAATTATAGATTTTAAGGGCATAAAATAGCAAATGTCATGGATAAAGTCTATGTTATGCACAGCATCTTTAAGATTATTTATAGAATAAAAGGAATGCAATATTTAACTCTAATCAAGCCTAGAGATAGTTCAATTAAAACTAATTATCTTCATCTCATCTCTAGAAAGATGTAACATTCATTTGACATTATGAAGATGTGGCCTGTGATATTTTAAATTAATTTGCTTAGATATTTAAAAAAAGAGGAAACAACAAATTTATTGAGCATGGTTTAAAATTTGTAAGGAATAGTTACAAAAGAGGCTAGCTTCCACTGTCAGCTCTCCTTCTTACAAACTTAATGGCCTTGAGCAAGGTACTTAACACTCTATATTTCACTTTCTCCATCTGTAAAATGATGAGCTGGATTGTCAGATTACCTCTAATATCTATGACTATACTTTATAGTAACAGAGGCATGGCTTGGGTGACTTCTTGAAGTCTTTCTATCCTCTTGAGGAAATGACATAACAATGCTACTCTGCATTTGTTCTTTGAAAATATGGCATACATTAAACTCAGTTTTGGGTGACTAGTGATAGTAACATTAACATTAACAGGGAAAATAATGGTAATAAGTAATTAAACTTCACATTTTGGACAAAAATGAGATTTTCAAAAATGGCACTTGAAATTTTGAACTGTATATATACTCTTGCATACACTCAGGGCTAGGTTTTATATATTTCTGAAAAGAAAATAACAGCTATATGGTTGATGTGGTAAATATTATACTTTCTCATTTCATACAAAGATGGAATGACCATTGCCCATGACTTCTATCATATTGTTGGGCAAGAATCATCAATGGCTGCTCCTGAACATTTATTTTTATTAAGGACATTACTAAATCTTCAAACACATCAATTCCTTCTTATAAATAAATTTTACTCTCATTTGGGATTCCTTAATTGTAACATGATAATACTTTGTAAAGCATAGAAATCTGCTTTTTTTTTAATCTGGAGAGATTATATAAAGTAATAGTACGTTATGTTTAATTTTTACTAATATTAAAAAATTATCTTTTCCTTGAGGAATCATACAACCTTCCATTAGAAAAAAGACTTCACCTTGCTGACTGGTATCTATATCTTCTCAGATCAAAGGTTTGAATATTTTTTTATGGACAGGAATCATTTCTAAGTTATTAAAGAGATGGTTAATAAACATCTCAAAAAGAAAGTGGTTAACAAAAAAAGCCAGCGTGGCTTCATCAACAGATTCTATAAGACTAACCTTATTTCTTATTCTGAAAGGGTTACTTAGCCTGGGTGATATAGGCTGGAAATTCTGTAGATCTGGATTACTTAGACTGTAACAAAACATTTGACCAAGTCCCTTGTGTGGATGAGAGTAACCTCTTATAGATAAGATGGTGGCAACGTAGGATAGACAATCATATTTTATGTAGTTTCAGAACTGATCGTACAATCAGACCCAAAGAGTAGGGTTCTTGACTTAGTGTTATTTACCCTGTTTATCTATGACTGGAATAAAGGCAGAGATAGCACTGGTATCTAACTTGAAAATGACACAAAATTGTGAGAAATAGTTAACATGTTGGATGAGGGAATCACGAACCATAAATATTTGAAAAGGCTAGAACTTTAGATTGAAACTTATACATTATAATTTAGTGACAATAAATACAAAGGTATGTATCTGCATTTTTTAAAAAATGGCTTCACAAGTTCAAGATGGAAGGAGGATGGGTATTTGCAGAGGTGCACTGGAGCTACCTTGAAATGACTTTGGAGAGCTGATTGTTATCAATGTTAGCATTATTGGAAATCAATAAACACTACGGATGTGAATTTGATTTACTTTTAAAATTTAGACAAGAAAGTGATGGAAAAATGTTAATAATGAAAATTAAACTTAAAATTTGTCATGCATACATTTTCCCTCTGAATAATCAGTTATTATTAATAATCACAACTCTAGCTGATTGCCTGGAAGACAGCTGGAGGTTTTAGTGGACCACAAGTTCAATATGCATGAACAGGGTGATATGGCTTCTAAGAAAGCTAATGTAATCTTAAACTGTATTGACATATAGCATCCAGAAATAAGAAAGCAGCTGTCTTGCTGTAGTCTGCCTTGGGGAGGCTTCAACTGGCTTTCTTTGTTTAGTTTTACATTTTGGAAGGGGCAGTAATTAGTTTGAGAGGATTCAAAGAACCTGCCAGGATGGTAAAGGATTTAGAATTTGTGTCATTAGAGAATCAGCTATATTGGAGAAGAGAAAACTTGGGATGGGGAGTATACATGATAACTATATTTGTATTGGAAGCACTTACATGTGAAAGGGACTTGACTTATTTTATCTTCTTAACCCAAGAGGGAAGAATTATGGGCAATGTGCATATGTTTCCAAGAGGTAAATTTAAGATTAATAGCAGGGGGAAAAAGAAAAAAAAATTGTAAAATTAGAACAGTAGAATGGGTGACCTTGGAATGTAATGATTTCTCTCTCTCTGCAATTATTAAAACAAAGAATAAGTGTTTACTTACTGGTTGTATTGTAGAGGAAATCATCTTTCAGTTACTAGTTGCATTGCATGAGGCCTTCTCCTGTTCTAAAAATCCTATGACTCTGTGATAAACAACATTTGAGGCACTGGAAATAAGCTTCATGTAGAAAGTGGCACATAAGCCAAGTGTAGAAGAGAACCAAATATTCCAAGGAGCAGAAGCAAGGACGCTTTTGGAGACAAAAACAAAGGATGTTTTTGTAAATCACTTTTCTTTGGTGATTGTTTCTAGTTTGCATTTGTGATGGGAGATAATTTATTAATGTTGTACTTCTCCCTTGAAATGCCTGGGAGTACTTTGGGCTTTATAATGAAGATTTCACTGATAAAGGTGCTCTCTCCCTAATGTCCCTTCCCACTCCCATTTTTCTACTACAGGCCAACATACATCCACAAAAGAATGTGGTAGAAAAGTCTGAGTAAATTAGGCACTGCCTTTTCTCTGACAGACCTTCTGCTCTAAGAGTGCCAAGTGGAACAAGAATAAGGGCAGAATAGCAGCTGAAAAATAGGAAGTGTGCTCAAAGTTACCATGTTAAAAAGCTACTTGTATGAGATTTGAGATGTTCTTATCTCATTCGTGCATGCTCAGTAAAATAAAAGTTTAGATTCTTTTAATGCTTTACTAACATATTTAGTCATCCCTTCATATTAGAACTTTTATGCTTTATAAACAAGGTAGCATGGAATAGTGGTTAGAGAGCTAGACTTGAAACCAGGAAGTCCTGGGTTCGAATCTCCCTTTTGATAATGGCTTTGTGGTCTTAGGTCACTTAAGTAATTCCCTAAGGCTCTAAGTGCAGAGAAAGAGTTGTCTTGTAATGGTAGAGGGAGATTCTAATGTTTATGATAGCCAGCACTTACCTATCATTTTTAAGGTTTACAAAGTACTTTCTATATGTTATCTCATATTATTCTATAATAACCCTGTGAGGTAGGTGTTACTGTTATTCCTGTTTTAGAGGTGAGGAAACTGAGGCTAAGTGATTTGTCCAGGGTTACATATCTAGTAAGTATAAGAGGTATGATTCAAATTCAGGACTTCCTGACTCAAAATCTTGTACTGCATCCACCTTCACACTCAATTTCCAAGGGAAATCACAGGGTCAGCCTTTGTCTATCTCTTATACTTTTTTAACAGGTTAACTTCCTGTGCTTAACAAAATGAAACGGAAAAGGAAAGCATCAAACTTTCTCTTAAATGAAGAAGACAAAAACCCAACACTCAAGTTTTATTTTTCTCTTTGAGAGTGAAGGCAAAGCAGCAGTAACATTGTAGATTTATGAATGTGACACGACAGAAGACTGATTCTTTAACTCTCTAGGGTATAGTATTAAAATATAAGACCAGAACATATGAAATAATTTTCATCAAGAATCACTTTGAGCTATTTTTTTCTCAGCACTTTCTAAATTAAGAATATGTTTCTTCACTTTATTGATGCAAATAAGAAAAAAAAAATAGGTAAAAACCAATACAAGGAAGTAGGCCTAATTAGGATCATGAGGAACCCTTTGCTTGCTCCAGATTTTGTGTGGCTCCCTCATTGTCAGGAACACCCAAACCTACAGATCCCTTAGGGAAACATTACCCTCTATCCTCTGCTTGCTGAAGTAGCCTGCCAACCTCTTCAAGTCAATGGCAACAGCAAATCTTGCATTTGACACAAGCTTCACCAGCTTTGACATCAGCCTAGACTACTTTTTGATTTACTTTCAAATCTTTTTTATTTGTGGCTCTCACATCCTTTCTTTCCTACAGTCATGGCAAAGAGAGTAGAGAAACAAACTTTTATCAGTCTTCTAAATAAACAAAACTGTATTCACATAAAAACATAATTATTAAATATGTAGCTTTTACAATTCTTTGTTACTAATAACATTGTTGTAATTTTTATCAATTTTATTTTGAAGAGAATATAATACATTGAAAGAGGAAAACAGCTCATGAGGCAAGAGCAGATAAGTGTAGTAGGCATATGATAAGAATAAATTGTTAGTGGAGAATATGTTGACAGACTGGCAAATATCCCAGCTCTCTACTGCTTAAATTAATTATGAGTTGTTTAGCACATCTTTCATTATTAAAATTTCTATTCTGATTTCAATTAGCAAAGCTCTGTATTATAAATCAAAGAAAGTATGCATAGTAAAGTGCTGAATTGTAAGCTTTTGACATATTGAGTAATTTTTCAGAGATTAAATAGAAGAGAGTCCTTTAGTAAATCCCTACTCCAGTGTATCATCATGGTTTGGAGGTGACCCTAGATTCCTACAGGCTATTCCAGTGGAGTA